GACTTATGGAGGTCATTCCTACATTGGCACCTATTACCCCCCACCCCCTGTCCCAATTTTTCACACTTGCTGTCTGGTCACCCTACCCCCTGCCCCATAGCCGTGTGTGGTCCCACCCACCCCGGCACCTGTCCCCATGCCCCATAGCCAGGTGTGTGTCCCACCCCACCCCACCCCGGTGTCTGTCCCCCTGCTAGGGTGACCAGATGTCCCGATTTTTATAGGGACAGTCCTGATTTTTGGAGCTTTTTCCTACATTGGCACCTATTACCCCCCACCCCCTGTCCCAATTTTTCACACTTGCTGTCTGGTCACCCTACCCCCTGCCCCATAGCCGTGTGTGGTCCCACCCACCCCGGCACCTGTCCCCATGCCCCATAGCTGGGTGTGGTCCCACCCCCTCCGGGTCCCTGTCCCCGTGCCCCATAGCCAGACACGTTCCCCCTTCCCCCATCCTTCCAGTCCACATCCCTATGTTCCATATGTCCCATAGCCGGGTGTGTCGCCCTCTGACCTGGCGGGGGGTGGAGGGTGGAGGTGTCTCCCGGCTGCTCACCTGGCTGGGCGGGTGGTTTTACTGGTTTGGCAGGAAAACCATTTCTTGCCCTTGCCTGTGAACCTGGATTTTACCTATATGGGCAGGACGGAGCCCAGCCCTTGTGCAGGGCGGTGGGGGTGGGGCATGTTCATTGGGGGTGAACCCTCCTACCGCTGCTGACACCCTGTCCCGGAGTCACTGGGGGATGCTCTGGAATTACTCCATACAAAGCCAGTCAGGACTGTAGGGAGCCTCCTCTCTCGGAGGAAAAAGCTTCCACATCTTCAACCTTCCTGGGCCTGACCTCGGAGCATTCAGCATCCCCGTCCAAACCGTGCGCTTCCCGCAGCGAGTCCGCCCGGGTAGAGCTCCTGGGGCAGCCAGAGGGTCCTGCCCCCCAACTCCGCAGTCAGACGTGACTCTGAGCCAGCCGGTAGAACAGAAGGGTTATTAGATGACAGGAACACGGTCTAAAACAGAGCTTGTAGGTACAGAGAACAGGACCCCTCACAGTCAGGTCCATCTTGGGGGGTAGGGAGCCCAGACCCCGGTTCTGGGCCTCCCTCTGTTTCCCCAGCCAGCTCTAAACTGAAACTCTCCAGCCCCTCCTCTGGCCTTTTTCTCTTTTCCTGGGGCCAAAGGTGTCACCTGGCCGCAACCCCCTCCTGGGTCTCAGGTCACACAGGTGCAAATAGCTCGGCAGTCTCACCTGCCCCGAGGGGCTCAGCAAACTCACACCCCCAATTCCCACCACCTACGTATTGGTGCAGGACACTGGGGAAACTCAGGTACTCCCAGTATTGGTATAGGCCAGTAAGGAGATGAATAAAACCCCACTTCGTCACACACCCACCCACCCCAGGGCAGGAGTTGGTCCGTGCTGGGCTGGGGCCCATTCTCCAAAGGATCAGTGTTTGTTCTCCTTACCTGGATGAGTAGGAACAAAGAGCAGGCTCTAAATGGCATCTTCATCTGATCCAGTGAGCTAACCGCACACAGCAGCCGTTCCTGGGGCTGGCACGAAGTGCCCTGTGATGGGGGCGGGGCGGGGGGGGGGGCTGTTAGCTACCCAGGATGGAGCCCTAGTCCCATTGCCCCAGAACACAGGTTCACACCTGCATGCAGCGGCTATGGGACAGCCCAAAGCATGCCCCACCCCCACCCAAGGAAAGTGCTTCCTGAACTGGGCTGATGGCACAGGCTTGGATTTGCCAGCCTCAGATGCAGGCTAGGACAGGAGGCTGGGGGCGAGCGGGCGGGTGGGTGGGTCAAACTGGCAACAAAAAGACTACTGCAGGCCCTGCCCCCCACCTCTGTTTACACACACAATTGCCCACTTTGCACACAGAGCTGAAGTAATCGTGCATGGGTAAATCCAGCCCCTGGAGTGCTCAAAAGTCAACGTCCCCTTCCTGAACTTGGCTGCAGCCAGCCCCCCGGGTCAATTGCACCCGCAGACCGCTGGGAAGGCTAGAAAAACAGAAAGCCGGGATCCCACAGGACCTGGAAGTGGCTAGACACATGCAGGGGCCAGAGGGCTTGTCACGAACTCACAGGTCGCGCTCACTCTTGGCCCCGCACAGT